TCAAGGACATTTCTTCAGCAATGATTCGACAGGAGCTCCTGTCTCACCCACATATCTCTTTATCCTAATAGAGCTCTTACTGTTTCCAAAGCACATTGTCAGATGTGTACTTCAAGTCCAGGTTTAGCAGCTCACACCTATGGGAAGGAAAATAAAGGAAAGTGAAATGAAGACATTAAACTTGAATTAGTAAAGTATTTAAGAGTCAAAATGCTTTAAACCCAATATGAAGCTGCTGCAACTTACTTGTAAATCTATGAATGAGGTCCTGGTTGAGCCAATTTTTTATGACTGAATGTGTCTTTGTTTTGTGTTTCGAACATTTATTAAACAGTTTTAACAGGTTAGGTTGGATAAAGGTGTAAATTTTTTGTAGTATCAGCTATGTTAAAATGTAAGGACATTATATATCTTAAAACTTTAGAAAGATGTATAGGGTGGTGAAAAAGAATGTTCCAATTTGTATTTTAAGTATGTTTAAATATGATTTGAGGGGGTCTTATATGTTTGAAATACCTAAAGTGCGAACTAATGCTAAGTATAGATGTGTGTCGGTTTTGGGAGTGAAGTTATGGAATGGACTTAATGATGAACTGAAGATGTGTTATTCTTTGTCATTTTTCAAGAAATTTGTAAAAATTTGCATCTTCCAAAGTTATAGAAACTTAGTTTGATGGCTAACCTTGTGTTGATTTGATTTCTTGATTTATCATTGCTTTTTCTTTAAATGTTATGCATCTTATCTATCAGCCTTGGTTAAGGATTTGATTATCTCTGTGGGAGTTAAGGATAGGCTAATTATAAGCCACTAGGCTTCAACCTGTTCCTTTTTTCAGTTGCTTGATTACTTTTATGTAAAATTGATAAATTGTTGTTGTTGACCGAATAAAAATATCTATCTGTCTATCTATCTATCTATCTATCTATCTATCTATCTATCTATCTATCTATCTATCTATCTATCTATCTATCTATCTATCTATCTATCTATCTATCTATCTATCTATCTATCTATCTATCTATCTATCTATCTATCTATCTATCTAATGTTACACTATAAATGTGAGACCAGTTTGTGTGCATCTAACTGGTAGCACTGGTTTACATTTCAATGGCCTAACGGGTCACCTGACATCATCACAACACTCGGTCCCATGGTTGAGGGCATTGTGACTAAATCAGTCTAGATCAGCCTAAACAAGGTGAAGAAAGTTTAAGTAGATTTTATTTTTTCTTTGATTTTTGGAGTGGAACTGGTTTCTGTCTAAAGCCGATTCTCATGAGATGGTAAATCAGCTGTCAGTTTCTTTAAACTGGATCGGACAAATTTTTAATGTACTTTTAATGTTAAAACTAGAACAAATTCAACAAGGTGAACAGAAAAGCACCTTGAACTCTGTTGACTTTTAAAAGGTCTGACTAGTTTAGTTTTACAGTTAGTTTTTTTAGAGCTAAAACATTGTTTTAAAATCACTATAAAATTTGACTTTGGGATGAGGAAAACGATAACCCTGAGCAGGCATGAACGATGTGCTTATCATCACGTCTGAAAGGAGCAGGAAAACCTTCCAGCTTACCTCAAAAGTGCTTGACTTTGAGTTTTGGGACTGTGTAAGGATCCTAAACAGCTCAACAATTATTCGTCACAATGTTTGTTCCTTCATTTTTCATGATGGCACTTTGCATTTACTTCAGAATTTTATCCATTTAAGCCATTAGATGATTTCCAATCGATTTCAAAGTCTTTTTTGATAGCAAACATTTCCACTTGAAAGTGTAAACAACTTTCTTAGTTCTGTAAATATGCAAAGAAAATGAATAAATGAGACTGTATTTAGCTGGATACACAGCATTGGTTGTTGCACAGTAGAGTTGCTCATTTTCAGTAAGTAGTGGATAATGAGCAGCGGCGGTGGTGGTAAAGAGTACAGATGTTTTACTGTGTGGTCAGCAAGGTTAAATATAGAATATACTGCACAGTGGATGAGTAGAGTATTGGAAGGTTAAACTGTGAGAAGGAACCAGCCTTTATGGACCCAGCAGGTAAACCAGTACCCAACCCCAGAAGCACCTTATAATACCCACACCTATATACAACCCTTACACCTACAAGAACCTTAAAAAGGACCCATCCCTCACTGATTACAACAAAACTCATGGTTCTCTGTCTTTTCAGTTTTTTCAGTCACACCCCATGAACTCGGTTAAATATTGAACCTGTGATCTACTCAGTGTTTTTGGCCAGAACTCACCTTCACCTGCTATTCAGACTGGCGCCTCTTTATCTCTTCTGGGGGGCTGGATGAACTTCTCTACACCTTCATGATCAACCTGTAGATGGCGCCATCATCAGAGCACTGATCCAGTGACCTGTTCTGGCTCCATCTCAATCACACCTGACCGGTGCCTTCTTATCATCCTTTGGGGGCCCAGCTCAACTCCCTATCCTAATTTCTGGTGAGCCTATTTACACCACCCATCCCGTGGTTCCAGTCAGTGTCACCTCGTCACACCTGGTGGGTCAAGCCTCCACCTCGTCCTCTCCTCTGGGTCAGTGCGAACCATCTCTACATCCATCATGAAGGCACAAGTTGTAACTAAAGTATAGTCATCCTAGAGGTCTCAGAGCATCTGCTGCTGCACCCAGAGGTCAATGCTGAAGCCCCTGCTGGGCCGCCTGTTCCTGAGGCCATCCTAGCCGTCCTGCTTGGAGGCTCCCTGAGGGTCCCAATCTCGCAAGGTTCTGTCCGAGCTGTCGAGTCCAGAGTTTCCCAAAGGGTCTCGGTCTCCTGTGGCTCAGTCCAAGTTTCGACCTTCTCCAGAAGCTCTGCTCAAGCTCTGACCTTTTCCAGAAGCCTCACTATTGTCCAGAAGCCCTGCCCAAGCTCCAACCTACTTCAGAAGCTCCCTCCGAGCTCACCAAGAGCACCTTTATTGCCACTTTACAAGGGCCCACCAGCTCCTACTCCCTCGTTGCTTTTTTCCACGGTCCTGTCGGCTCCTGCTTTCTCATTCACAGCCCCAAGAAACCCCTGTCTCCTACTCCCTCAATGCCAGCCCCCTGAGTCAGCCAGCTCTTGATTCCTCTCCAACGGCCCCAAAGAAACTGCTGGCACCTGTTTCCTCATTGCTGGTCCCAAGAAATTACCGGCAACTATCTAATATTCAAGAGGCACAACATTATATACGATGTCAAACAGTGATATCGCACGTGATCTCGTTCTTCTCTTTTTGGTTTGATGGTGTTACAACCCGTGCAGGTGGTCAGTGTGAAGGGGGTTGACATAAGAAGCTGGAGTGTGGTTGGAAGGTATAAATAAAATGTGTTTTTATTATAAAGGACAAGCCTCAGCAGGAGGACTGCTTATATAATAAAATAACTAGAAAGGGAGGTAAACAACTCAAAGTGCTCTTATTTGTTCAAAACTAAAACTAAGATAAGAATTAAACCAAATTAAAAGAGAAAAACCAAAAGACCATTCAAGAGAAGTCTCTGAAATGTCAAAACTTAACCCAAAATACCAAAAAGGTCTCCAAAATAAAATCTCACCCATTTAACTTCTCTCCGAGCTGTAGAACAGCAGCTAAACACAAAAGGAGCCGACACTAATGTTCTCTAAGGAGTTCCAAGTTCCAGTTAAACAACAAACTGGGAATTTTCATAACACAACACTGACAACTAGCAGGATCCCACTGATCAGGGGGACAAACAACAACAGTCCTGTTGCCCTCGAACTGCTGACAGCTGCAGCTTTTATCCAAGTTCCTGTCATCAGCAAATAAGCTGCAGCTCTGGTGGTTTGAGGCTGCAACAGGAACGAGTGGATGATCTACCAAGCGTGTTCATTCCAGGCCTGGCGGTCCCAAATCCAGCATGTTTTAGTTTAACTCTGTTTAACACACCTGATTTCAATCAGCAGGTGATTAACAGGCTGATGAGCACAGGCCAATCAAATGGGCTGCATGGTGGCACAGTTGTTAGCACTGCTGCCTCACAGCAAGAAGGTGCAGGTTCAAAACTCGGCTGAGGCCTTTGTGCGCGGAGTTGCATGTTCTCCCCATGCATATGTGGGTTTCCTCCGGGTACTCTGGTTTCCCCCACAGATCACAACATGCCCTAACCCTAACCCTTTTTAACCCAGGGTTAAAAACTGTTCGTCGCTATGGATTTGCCAAATAAATAAACATTGACATAATCAAGCGTGTTGAATCAGAGAAACCTCTAAAACGTGTTGGAGGACTGGAATTGACTTGAATATCCCTTAAGCCAGGCCAGCTGCTGTCCATGGTGCTGAAGTGTGTTTCAGCACATGAGGAATGAGGTGGAGCTGTCCAAGGTGCTGGAGCAGCAGGAACCTGGCAGCCGTAACAAACGGTGGGTGGCAGAAACAATCCATAACCTTTGAAGACTTGAGAGATTTTGTGATCCAGGGAGTCCAGCAAGGTGGATAGTGGAGAAGCTGCGCCGCACCTGAGACACTTCCTCGGTGTGGACTGATGTGTCGCACAGTATGCAAGTAAACCATCCTGCTGCCATTCTACACCACTCATGCCTCAAGTGTGGATTTGGGATTACACCCATCCAGCCTGCCTTTTTCTCAATAATAATGTATCTAATGTTACATGACAAGGTTATTAAATCATACACACACACACACACACACACACACACACACACACACACACACACACACACACACACACATTTCAAATTTTAAAAAACTATCTAATATTCAAGTTAGACTAAATATTTGTTCTGCCCAGACAGCCTGTAACTTAATTTTTCTAAATCTGTATGAAGAACAACTTCTTTACCACGTTTTCCACAACACCAAACTGACCGATCTGTTGGAACAGTGGGCTGTGAACCATTTTCTAAAACAACTTCCTGTCCTAACTCTCTGGGCAGTCCTTGTTTGCCCGTTATTGACCGCGTTATGAGACAAAGTGATATACAGCCAAAGAGAGAGCGACGGACAGACAGCAGTGTTCCTCTGTGGTGAGTTCGTGCCACCCAATAGATGTTAGAGGGTTAGGGTTAGGCCGGCATGATTTCACTGATGCAACTGAAGGAGAACAAAAGCAGTTTTCTCTCATCTCTGAATTCAACAAGCATCTAAAAAGGTAAGTTTTTATTTAATCTTACATCTCATCTACTTATTTGCTTTATTTTGGTATCATTACTTTCTTACCTACATATCTTTACCATTCCTTTCTTCCAAAATGTTGATTCAGACCAGTTAGCAGTTCTCAGTTCCTTGCCTGTAGTTCCAGACTTGGCTGATGTGATTTAAAGCAAAACACTAACAAGTCTAGCTTTTTGCCAACAGCACAGAGTTGGATTGTTTAGTGTTGATGTCTTGCAAAAGAGGAGAACTACTTCCTGATGAGTGGCATAGTATTGTTCCTAAACAAATAAAACTCCTAATGAGCTCCACGTGTCCCAGAGGTACTCATCCTCGTCTCATTTAATCTATCAGAAAATGTCTGTTGGAAACTAAACAGGCTGCGTGGAACTCTAAACCAGGAGTGGCTCTGGAGCCATGAGAGCTATCAGCCTAACAACTTTGACTAAAATTATCTTTAAAGGTCGTGTTGTAAAATATAAATATCATAAAGAAATGCAGTTTTAAGCTTTCAGCTTCCTGATGAAATAATTGCATTTGTTATGCTCAACAGAATGACACTAAAAGTACCAGTAATGTTTTTAGTTTCAGGTTTTTTCCTTCTAAAATGACAGCAAATCACTTTTAATGGAATTTACAGAAGAAAAAGATGGCCACTGAAAAAGATTAATCTCAGAAATCTGAGGAAAAAAAACACTTTTTTCTGTAGACTGCTCTAAAAATGTGTGGATTGTCTCTTTCCAAAGGGCCTGTAGCAGTCGCGGCCCTAGGAACGTAAAACTGAAGAGATACGTAAAGGTTGCTGACCCCTGCTCTAAGCCATTTGTATCTGTACCCACCTAATGCGAGTTAAACTGACTAAAACAATGTCATTTATACAAATGGACCATCGGTTGGTTTGTGCTGACAGTTGGTGCAGCACACAAGCACATTATGTCTTCTGAATCAGTAGATTTGGTTTCTGTCCTGTGCAGGGTGGGGGGTGTTTGGAGGCAGGGCAAGCCCATCGATCAGCTAGTGAGCAGAGCAACTCTCCCTCCAGCTGCCCACTGGGTGTGAAGGACACCGATGTGACAGCCATAATTACAGATGCAGGAAGCCGGCACACAAACTTTCACAGGAGCAGCTCAAGCGGCCTTTTCTGGGCTCCAATCATCCTCCATCGGCCACTTTACAGCTCTCATCCCTGCTGGGTGGTGATTCTGGCATCCTAAACCAAAACATACAAAGCCCAGTCCTGACTTGCAAAGACAAAAATGAAAAAAATGACCCACTAAATTTCATAACTGCCCTAAAATAAACAAATACTAACCTGCTCAAGCTAACGCACTTCCCCCCTACAGGCTGGACTAATGATGATGCTCGAGGACATTTCTATATGATCTCTTTTTCTTAGCTAAAGCTTTTTTAATTTTTTCCACTAATCTGATAATAACACTGACATTCTGTGAGAACATTAGAAATTTGAGAAAACTGGTTGAAACATGTTCTGTTCTTTGACGCCTCAGAACCTTTTCACCACAAAACTAAAATGTTAAAGGTGAAACCGTCACTTATACATGAGCCACAGAGGTTGGTGAATGTTGGTTGATCTGGTGCCCGCTGATGCAGAACAAGGCCACGTGAGTTTACTGTAGCCAAAACGCTAGGTAGTGATGGTGCTTTTGGACGTGCTGATAGTATAACTGAATGTTCTCTAATGCCCCCATGACACAGTCATGCTTTGAGTAGGTCACATGACTGAAACCCAGGTGTGTGCTGGTGGACCCTGCAGAGATGGGTTGAGCTGATTTCTGACATAGCTGTTAGGCCTGAAGGGTCGGTGGGTTCAGCTCCTTTCCCAGCTGGACTAAACTAGTAACTAAGATTCATTCTTTTCATCTTTTCTCTGGTCGAGCAACATCCATTTCTCAGTCAGTCTATTTGCTCAGCTTGCCGTGATGAACAGAAAGGTGTTCCCTCTGCTCTAATCTGGATCTCTAAATAAAATCATTGTTTCAAATAAACACACATTCACCTTTTTTTAGTCCACCAACACCTCTACCATGGTAGCCTGAGGGAGGTTGTCAGAGACATTCTTCTAAAGGCCGTGGCTTTCTTCTTGTTCCATGTGCACCATTGTAGTTTGGTTTCCTCCTGATGGCTGTTCTCTAGAAGCCACCCTGGCTGTCTCTACAGATTCTTACTAACCTGGCTCTTTGCTGTTTGAACTCTCCTGGGGAGAGTAACAGTAGCCTTTTATTTTCACAATTCAGACACAGATTGTAGATGAATGGAGTCCAAACAATTCAGAAAGGGTTTGTGACCTTAACATTTCTGATCAACAACTTTTGATCAGTTTCCACATGTGGAGATCTGACCTAGGAAACAAGATAAACCAACGTGACAGATAGTCAGCACAGTAAAATCATGTTTGCTTATTAATTAACAACAACTCAAGATCCCATTGCGTTCCTCAGCCAGCTGATTGTAAAGCCTCTGCGTTTGTCCTGGGTTGACCCCGGATCATCCTCTCAAAAGATCATGGTGTGTATGGTGTAGAGCAGCAGCTGTGAACTCTGAAAAATCATCTTGGTTTCACTTCCTATTTGATTTCCAGAGGAAACGAGACAGTGCTAAACACCAGTTGCCGTTTTCCAGGTCCAAACATCTCTGGTTGTCCGTGACTTCAAAAGGTGTTTTTCTTTTTAGGACTCTGGTAGTTTGTCCTAAAGTTGAAGTGGTAGCAGCCGGCTGTTTCTCCTTCTCTGGTGCTATTGAGCGGAGAACCTCTCACACCAGTGGTGTTCTGCTGCTAAATGCTTGAGTGTGCAATGAGTGGAGGACACAGGGAAGTGCGGTGGTTTGGTCAGACCACAACGGGAAGGTCCAATAGTTGATTTTGGTCTGAAACGTGTCATCGGTGGAGGTTTTTAAACAAACGCAGGAGAACCACCCTGTTATTTATTTATTTATTTTAATCTCTACAATATATTTATGGCTATACTTTATGGGCAGCAGCAGCTCAGGAGGTAGAGCTGGTTGGCCAGTAATTGGAAAATTGCCGGTTTGATCCCGACTCCAACCAGAGAATGCTGCTGTTGTGTCCTTGGGCAAGACACGTAACCCACCTTGCCTGCCAGAGGTTGTTGGATGGACCGGTGGCGCCTGTGCTCGGCAGCCTCACCTCTGCCAGTGCACCTCAGGGCAGCTGTGGCTACATTGTAGCTCATCACCATCAGTGTGTGAATGGGTGAATGATACTCTGTAGTGTAGAGGGAGTCCTCCCACTCTGAAAGGTGATATGCAAGCATACAGCATACTGTGTTAGAATGTTATTAAGATGCATGAAACATCTTCTAAGCTGCTTTGTTTTCCTGAGTTGCCTTTGCAGCTTTAACAAACGACTGCAGAAGCAGAGATGGAAATTTACCTTAAAACAAACAAAATTAGATTCTAGGTTTTATTGTAGTTTTACATGTTTTCTTTACTCCCCACCAGTAGGAAAAGGGACGACATAAGTGTTGCTGGTGGGGTTCGGTGTGTGAAGTGGTGGCACGTGTGAGAAGTTACTCTGACATTTATTCTAATTATGCACATTTTTATTGATGCAGTGTCAGCTTAATTACTTTCTTATTGATGTGCACAGTGGCACTGCAGCATGCAGGTCAGTGAACAGGAGCTGCTGCTGGTGGGAACGCAGCTGGAGGCTGATGTCCCAGATCACAACTGTGACAAACACAAATCATTAAGATGCACGTGCATATATGTACATATCTGACATGATCAGAAATGTTTCTATTTTCTGAGGAATTTTACTCAAAATTCATCCTGAAACATCTTAAAAACGATAACATTTGCAATCTTTTTCCAGTTTTTCTGAGTCTTGTCGTCTTCCTCCGCTTATCCGGGTCCGGGTCACGGGGGCAGCATCCCAACTAGGGAACTCCAGACCGTCCTCTCCCCGGCCTTCTCCACCAGCTCCTCCGGCAGGACCCCAAGGCGTTCCCGGACCAGATTGGAGATGTAACCTCTCCAACGTGTCCTGGGTCGACCCGGGGGCCTCCTGCCGGCAGGACATGCCCGAAACACCTCCCCAGGGAGGCCTCCAGGAGGCATCCTGACCAGATGCCCAAACCACCTCAACTGACTCCTTTCGATCCGGAGGAGCAGCGGTTCTACTCCGAGTCCCTCCCGAATGTCCGAGTTCCTCACCCTATCTCTAAGGCTGAGCCCGGCCACCCTACGGAGGAAACTCATTTCGGCCGCTTGTATCCGCGATCTCGTTTCGGTCATTACCCAAAGCTCATGACCATAGGTGAGGATTGGGACGTAGATCGACCGGTAAATCGAGAGCCTGGCTTTCTGGCTCAGCTCCCTCTTCACCATGACAGATCGGCTCAGCATCCGCATCACTGCAGACGCCGAACCAATCCGCCTGTCGATCTCCCGATCCCTCCTACCCTCACTCGTGAACAAGACCCCGAGATACTTAAACTTCTCCACTTGAGGTAGGACCTCTCCCCCGTCCCCGGAGTTGGCAAGCCACCCTTTTCCGGTCGAGAACCATGGTCTCAGATTTGGGGGTGCTGATCCTCATCCCAGCCGCATCACACTCTGCCTAGAAATTCTGTCCATAAAGGTAATGAACAGAACCGGTGACAGAGGGCAGCCCTGGCGGAGTCCAACCCTCACCGGGAACAGGTCCGACTTACTACCGGCTATGCGGACCAAACTCACGCTCCTCTGGTAAAGGGACTGAATGGCCCTTAACAGAAAGCCACCCACCCCATACTCCTGGAGCGTCCCCCACAGGGTGCCCCTGGGGACACGGTCATAAGCCTTCTCCAAATCCACAAAACACATTTGGATTGGTTGGGCAAACTCCCATGCCCCCTCCATCACCCTTGCAAGGGTATAGAGCTGGTCCACAGTTCCACGGCCAGGGCGAAAACCACATTGCTCCTCCTCAATCTGAGAGTCAACTATCAATCGGACCCTCCTCTCCAGTACCCTGGA